ATAAATTAATTTCTTCTGCTAGAAAGACTCTGGTGTAAATACCAACATGAGCGCGCTTGATTTTTCCATTGTCTCCATACTCATGTCTGGATACGCATCGAACATGAGACTCGAGAGTAATGTTGTGGTAAACTATATGGTTTCATCTATATATTGGTTCATATAACTATTATCAGTTATAACATATAAACCTATAAGGTGGCATGTTGCAATGATACTAAAAGTAATACTAAAACCAATACCCATAAAAAGCAAACAATGATAGTTAAATATTACAAACTAGATACACATTTAACTCTACAGATGTTAATAAGTAGGAGGACTTCACATACTTTACTGCTTGCTCGGTAAAATGCTTTCCTGGTTGTCTCTGTCGTAGTGTATGCAAGTCACCACCAGGGCAAAACTCCATCACTAAACACGAAAATTTATCAGTCTCGAAATGGGAATACAAAGTTGGGAGGAAGGGATGGTCCAAGGATTGTAGTATTTCTCGCTCAGTTTGAGCTCGAAGTAGTTTCTTACGACTTGCTAAAGATGATTTGTCCATCACCTTCATTGCAAAATAACATGTTGTTCCAATTAGTTCCGAAAGATAGACACTTCCAATATCCCCACAGCCTAATCTCTTCATTAATCGGAAATGGTTCAAACCCAACACACCGTCTTTTCCTTGGACAACCTGTATGGCATCCCACCTAATATCGTTCGTCTTATTAGGTCTGTTGATCCGGCTACTTAAGCTGCTATACGAACTTTCATTGCTTACATCACTGCTGGTGCTACCTCTACACATACTGCTCTTACCACTCTCAGTATAATCACGATCACCAATTTTGGCACTTCCACTAGTCTTGACAAGGCCAGTGGCCCCATCACTCGATTTAGCCGAAGCTGAACTAATTACATATTCCGATGCTTTTGTTTCTTCTTTACCAGAACCTTCTGGTAATCCACCATCCTGACACACTTCAGAACCAACATGAGTCGGAACTTCTTTCTGATTACCCAATGATAGACCTGACTCTACTTTCTCTGTCAACGAATCACCAGACTCTAATCTACAAGTTTTCGATGCTTTTACATCGTCCACACAAACTTGCTCAGATGCAACTTGCTGCACAACCTTCGGTGTTGTCTTCAGTGTAACAGGCGCCAATTTGCTAGTCTTTGCTATTTGCATTGGAGAAGGCCAAAAGCAATCACCTTCGGTGGCCATTTGGTTACCAAACGGTTCCCTCTGCTTTCCCGGGGGAAGCTCTGGCGCCAGATTTCGAGGCCACCCAAAAAAGAAGGAAAACTTGCTACTTAGATCAGACTACAGAAACCCATTATTCTCCTCCGATCAACGACTCAAAAGTTCCATCCACCAGCATTTCTAATTACTTTCATCTTCAACTTCAACATCTAAAAACTGATATACAAAAATTGAAAGAACAGAAAATTTTAACACCCGCAAACATAGTATTCACATGGCAATCAGAATATATTGTATACTTTATATTAAAATTCCACAAACCATAACTAGTGGCTTGATCTATTGCATCAAAAAATTAGGCGATCCATGAAATAAATATCATACCCTAGATTTTTACAATACCCTTTTCAAGATTAAGAACTACAGAAATCCAAATCAATTAATTGGATAGATAAGCAGAAAACCAAAGAGGAAAAAGGCAATACAAAGTGACTGATAACAGAGAACTGCATGCAAAACCAGATCAAAATAAATCCTAAAAGCAACAAAATAACCGAGAAAAATCTACCTAAAAAATGGAAATCCTTTTGAGTCACCAGGATTAAAAGGTGCAGACAAAATAAAAATAGGGATAAAAGAAATCAATCAAAACACAGCAAAAATGCAGTCATTGATTCATAGTTCTCTCTAAAAGAGAGGAAAAAGAGAAGAGAAACAAAGAACCAAAAAGGAGAAGATAAGAACAAAGTAAAGAAGATTCAAATGAGATTTCTCAATAAATACAAAAGACCCACCTTTGGATCCAAAACCCCACTATGAACAATATGCTAAGAGACAAAGTATTTATAAATAAATAAATAAAAGACAAAGTAGAAGCTTAAAAAAATTACCCAGCAAGTAAATCATAAAAATCAGTTAAAGCTATGAACAAAGAAAAGGGGAAACTTTGAGAAGGAAAATGAAAATTGTACCTGAAATAGTTTTCAAAGATGGGAACTTGGGAGGCCACTGATATAGCAGTGGAGCAGAAAAAGACACCAGCTTTATCTGGCTTGTTCACTTACAAAACACTGTAGAGAGAGAAAGAATTTTAAAATTTTGAGGAGAAAAAGGCTTTTGTTTGTGAGAGAGATGGTTGGACGGATCTTCCATGAAAGTAGACAGAGAAAAGGCACTCAAAGTTCAAGTAAAACTTTCAAAGGATGTATTTTGTTTTTTCCTTAAAAACAACAATAATATAATAAATATATGGGTAAACTATAAATTGACCACTTAATTATTTTGTCATTTTACTTTTACCAAAGATCTTTTAAATTTGTCAATCAAACTACTAACTATTTATTTTTATCCAATCAAATCACTAGATGTTAATATTTGACGAGATACTGACCTGACAATTAATATAATTATACATTTATTCATCAATACTTATATCAATTTAGTTCTAATTTGAAAATTGAAAAGAAAATAGGATAGAATTAAAATGTCATTTGTAAAGGTTTGATCTTAAAACCCCATGGATGGATAGCAAAGACTTAACCAATGAATCAAATGCCTTATTTGTTATAATTTTTACATCAATATTTATTTATTTATTAACATTTTTAATGATGGAGAGAAAAAATAAAATATTCAAATGATATTTAACTTTATATCCTCAACCCACTTTTTACTCTGCAGAAGCTATAAATTCTTTTGGGCAGTTTTCAAAAACTCTTCCTTTTTGGTAGTAGTATCACTCTATCATTTTTTAGTTATATTTTATTGTATTTACTATAATAATACTCTTGACTCTTTTTTCTAGTAAAATGTATCATGGCTACCGGTGTTTTTGAACTCCTGATGCAGGTTTTTAATTTGTCTTCTTCTAGGTTTTTATTTTCCATGAATACATGGTTGTTGCTTTCACGATAAATGGTTTCTTTGTTCGTTTGTACAAGACGGTTTGGGTTATCGCATCTATGTGTCGGATGAGATTGTTGTTAAGGGGATCTCTTTTTCCGTTAGTAATTTTGGTTCTTATTCAAAATTTTCTCCTCCATGTTTGATGCTCAGAGCCGTTGGTATGTTCATGTAACACCTTAATCCAGTTAGACTCGAAGATCCATGGATTACAATGTTACACAGGACTATCGAAATAGTGACCTAAAATTTTCTTTAAAAACTGCTTGTAAATCTTTGAAATTTTACATTCATAATGTAATATAAAAACATGATAATAAACTGGGTTTACAAACAATGGGGAGCTCCCAAAATACATCCACAAAATAATACAAAATACTGGGTTTCAAAATAGTTACGAATGAATACATAACAAGATCCATAGCAATACATGCCTTCTAAAGATGACTCGAGATGTACTCTGAGAGGTCTCTGGAAATCTGCTCTGTTGTACTGGAATATCTTATGACGATAGCTCCCCACAATATGCCCCTAATAACCTGCGCACAGAAATACATTCCGAACGCTGAGCTTACGAGCTTAGTTTGAATCATCTAGTTTCTTAAACCCTTCTAAAACATGTTCTTGAAAATTATGGTGACATGGGTGGTTTTAGAGCTTGAATCAAAGCTTGAAATGTAAGGGTTATGATTCTTACTTGTAGAACATAGGTTAAGGACTGGAAAATGATAAAGTTCACACCTTTACTTTGCAAGGGAGGAGAAAAACGGGAAGAAGAAGATATGAAAAAGAGAAGAAAGTGCAGAAAAAGATGAAGCTTTCATCAGACGGTGATATTACCCAATTTTAATGATTTTCAGCTTAAATTTGAATAAGGGTAAAATTATTTCATTGGTCCCTCCAATTCTTACTACAGGATAAAAACATCCTTTTTATTCACTATTGGGCTTACCTCAAGCCCAATTCCTCTTCAATTTGGGTCAAGGCTTCCTACAAGATAAGGAATTACATCAAGACCCATCCGGGTTAGCCCAACAATTCTAACCCGGGATTCAAGGCGTTATAGTTTAGTTTTTGTACGTCGTTGCTTTACTTGTTAATGGTTTGGTTTATATGATATCTCTAAGCGATCATTGTTATATTTATTTTTGATAGTATCGACTGTATTTGTTCAGTCTGTCATTAGCACGACGTCTGTTGATACGACCTTCGATAAATTACATTTTCTCGTTATTTTAAAAAATGATATTTAACTTTAAATATTTTTATATTTTCAAATAAATAAAATAAGTTTAATACTTATGTAATTAAAGTGAACTTGTTTTATTTAAAAATATAAAAATATTTAAAGTTAAATATCATTTGAATATTTTTATTTCTTTATCTCTATCATTAATAATGCTAAGAAATAAATAAATGTCAGTGTAAAGGTTACAACAAATGAGGTGTTAGGTTCAGTGGCTAAAGCTTTTATATCCATTCATGGGGTCTTAAGATCAACCCTTGTAATTGCATTTTAACTCTTTTCACATCGGGACTAAATGGTTAATTTATTAAATTTAATTAAAATTAGGATTAAATTGATGTAGTGTATAAGTATTGAGGACTAAATGTACAATTATGCCAATTTTATTAATTGTATCGTTATTGTAACCCCCCAAACCGATGCGGGTAACCCGATCTGATCCGAGAATTCACATTAGGGCCACCAGAGCGACCCACTGTAAAAATATCGGAAAATTTAATTTTTTTTATCAAAACATGTAAACTCATAAAATCATTTATCAGTATTCAGAAATAAAATAGATTTTCAGACTCGTATTTAAAACAAAATACAATTACATGCCCCCTAATCACATGTACCATACTCTGCAACAACGCCGGAAGAACTCCTTTACTGAAGTCGATAGATGCACTGGTACAATTCTTTTAACCTGAAAAGGTGAGTAATAGAGTGAGCTTTGGAAAGCTCGGTAATACAGAACTACCAGATGATGCTGATGAACGTACAGATACAGATAAATATATATCTCCTTATTGTTTCCGAACATTTATAGATTTTTATGCTCAGCAAAGATCCTATTGATATTTCAGGTGGTAACGGACAATGAGCTTTCAGTTCAGAGAAATATTTCAGATAAGTGAGTTTAGGAGATCAGAATAGGTTATCTAGTGTGTTCCCGTAAAACCAGTAAAAAGATACAAAAAGATACAAATCTTTTAAAACATATATATATATATACCCCCATCCCATCACATCAAAATGTGTAGGTTCCCCATAACCATACACCCAACCCAACACATCATATAATGCCCTGAGCACAAAGCCGAGGAACCTACGGAAATACTTCCTTCAACAATACCCCCCAATTAAAATATTTTTCCGTCATTAAACGGAGATATCAAAAATCAAAACAGAATTCAGAATAGATATCATAATAGAATCTAGATCAGAAATCAGAACAGAATTCAGGTCATATATCAGAACATAATTCATGTCGGAAATCAGATAAAATATTTATATGATTAGGGAACACACCAGAGTTTACAGATATTATTCAGAGATATTGGATAATCTTATCGGGTAGAGAGACACAAATCTTCAGTTTACCGATAGAATGTCGGAAGTTAGAAAAACTATTTGAAAAAGTTCATTAACTGACAGAATCATCAGTTATTAAGGATATGATTTATCGGGATTATCTTATTCGAACACTTTTCTGAATCTCTACGAAATTTGAAGGTATTCAGAATCTTTACAATCTATGACGATTAATCCGATTATCGAACAACTCCAGTTGAATAGCTCCCAGAATCAATACTTACCAACTTGTCAATTCATTAACCTTCCAGGGTATTTACTCTTTAATACCAAATATTCTTATCCACAAATCATATTCTGAGTCATCATTGAATAAATCTTAAGGAGGCAAACAAATATTCTAATGGTCTTTATTTCATTTCCATGTTTCAACTATACCATGAAATGCTGACGTACTTGATTTGTGGTTCATAATCCATAGAGATGATACATCATATAAGTTCATACGAGTTTCTAAACTTATTCCAATCTCTTACTTAATCCTCAGTCTTTGAGGTTACTTAGTTCATTTAGCAATCAAGTCCATTTCAGATACTTCAGGGTTTTCTAGGGTAATCCAGACGTTTCTGAAATTTGTATACATACTTTACTTTCGTTCAATTCAATTTGGTCTTCGAGGTTTATTTGTCTAATGAATATATATATTTCTTAGTACCGAAGGTGATATAGAGTTGGGTTGGGCTGAGTACTTCCAAAATTATCATCGAACCAAACTTGAAAAGGCGAACAAACATTCAAGTAACATCTATGCCGTTCAGGTATTGACATATCATTAAGATTGATGAACTCACTTAAGCTCTGTTCCATAAATTCTAAAGGTAGTCCAACACCTATGCTTATTTGGATTCCTTAATTAATCCAAGATATTTACTTAATATAGGCCATAAGGGTATTTTGGTCATTTTGATGCTCAGTTTTATTCCATTCATTTCAGAGCTCGAGGATATCCAATCATTCCTGAGCTTGGTGATATTATTGGGTTAATTTCATGATAGGGGTATTTTGGTCATTTTATAGATTTACGGTATTTCAATCTTTTCCCTCCATCTGGTCTTATTATTTAATTCCAATTTATCATCTATTCCAGTCCTTTCGAACAATTCTGATAAAAGAGCACCCTACGATAAATTGTTCTTTAGGTATTTACTCATAACTCGGATATTTTCGGGTCAAGTGCCTTCTCAGATTTTACAAATGAAAAATCTTGAATTTTTCTTTACAAAGACATGATCTTAATAATTAAATTCGTACTTAATAGAGTTAAGTACAAATCCTCAAAGTATTTTCTCTTTCAGGGTCAACTCTGACTATTTTACCTCTCAAGGGCATTTTCGTAATTTCTTAACCAGATAATTTCGATATTAGCTCTTAACGAAAATAATATAATATAAAGATCCTATGATTAATTGCTTCCTCGAACATTCTTTGATCTTGAAATGATTCCTCAAAAGACTTCTAGTATCTGGCATAAACCTTCTCGGGGTTAAAAACTGGTTATCCATAATTTCCAAGTAAAACTAACATTTCTTATGCACATAAATAGTTTTAGCAGATCACTAATTCTTTTCAGATTTATTAATCCACTTCCAGGGATAATTCTTGTTATTTTCCAACATAAGGGTAATTTCGTAATTTTACATAATCGAAATATTCTCATAATTTATCATCTAAGTACCTTTAATGAGATAAATTATAATCTACATATCTATGGTTGATTCTTTTATCACTTAATTCCAGAACTTGTAATTTAATTCCAACTGTCCTTCAATTTCTTATAATAGTCATCTGAGCCATATTCAGTTACCTACTTTCTACCGTATTCATATCTAGTGTAGATCTTCATTAATTACACATATGAGACCAAACATTTCCATTCATGCATTTACCAATACCAACATGTTCTATAAAGCATAAAGAGGTAGTAAAGTATTACCTCGATTTCTGTGCAATAATGATCGACCAATAAATTTCATTTGAACCCCCTCGATCTTGAATTCAACTTCCAATAATTCCTCAGATACATATCAACATAAATTATATCAAAAACGAAGCTTAATTACGATAAACGGATCGAATCGAGTGATAAATCAGTGAAAAACAGCTTATCAGTTTCGAATTTGGCGAAACGAACTTCAGATTCAGGACGTCGAAAGCATAAAATATGACTTTTCAAAAATTTAGAATTTTCAGTCAAAATCAAAGTCAACGGGTTAGACTGCAAATATCGAAGCCTTTAAGTCCGAATTTTGAAAAACGGACTGCAGAATCGGATTTGGAACGTCGAAAAATGTCAGGATAGATATTACTCGGTCAAAGTCAAAGGTCGTTTAATGCCCGGTCAAAGCCTGTCAAAGTTTTGATCAACAGTGGTCAACGCCGGTCAACGGTCAACGGGTCGGGTCAACGGATCGGGTCGGGTCAATGGGTCGGGTTGTGATCGGTCAAACCGATTCCAAAACCGATCAAACCGGTCACTTTTTCCTTCCCCACGCGCAGTGGCGGCGCGTAGGGGTGCGTGAACAGTGCTAAATTCCCGGAAAAATTCCTAAAAATTATTTTGAGCGTTTTTAGATATTTACAAAGTTTGGTTCACAATTTTGAACGGTGGAGAGCTCGATTTCAACAAATCGGAAACTTTGACCACTTCACCTCCTCAATCTTGCAAGGAGCACGATGGTGCAGGAGGTGTCGTAAACGGATGCTCGTATCGTCGTGAATCGACGAAAAACCAATTGAAATTGAGTTATTACCGACGATACTTCCGACTGAAATTAACGACGAACGGCGATGATTCACGACAAAAGCTTTGAGGGGTTTTGTTCCTCGCTCAACAACGAACACGATGGTGGTTTCGGCTCGTCGATCGGAGGTCGGACGGCGAGTAGATCGGAGTTGAAAGAGGGGTTGACAGGAGAGGAAAAACTGAAAATATTTCCAGAAACATACGAGAAATTAGGGGTTTATATCATCTCATAATTAAAAATGGTTAAACCAAGAGTTAAGCCACTGAACTTCCTGCACTTCATAAAACAGTCTGCCAACTTTAAAATTTTACAATTTAACCCACTGTTTCTTTCAAAATACCAAATTAAATCCACCACTTTATAATTTATTAATTTTAGCCTCTAAATTGGGGTGTTACAATTTTTCCCTCCTTAAAAAGAATTTCGTCCTCGAAATTCATTCATGTCACATAATTGCAGAAATAAAACTTTCTTCAGTTCTCTCATATCTTTAAGTAGCTTTTACGAAAGTAAGGATCTTCCACTAATCCTTAACCAGCTGAGCATACATTCTTATCATAACTTTTCCTCATTTCAATAAAATAATACGAACAAAAATTTCCTTGAGTAATCAATTCAGTCTTTGTCACGAGAATAGGCTCATAGAGCAGTATCATATACCAATTTCATTTCCGGAGTCAAGTCAGAATTTTTCAGATAAATAACTCTCACATGGATCGTGAGGTACTTCACAGCGTTTAAACAGATGTTACTGGTATTCCTTTTTCTACAAGTATAGCCTTAAGAGATAGAAACTTTGGTTTACTTGTTACAAATAGGGACTCAGCCCTGGAGTTCCGGCTCAGAGAGGTACGATTGCAGTCTAGGGGCATGTACTGATCAGACATATTTTGACATTCAACCGGCCGGTCTATCTTGAAAATTTTTGACTCAAACCAAAGCTCTGATACCATTAAATGTAACCCCCAGACAGATGCGGGTAACCCGATCCGATCCGGGATGTCACATTAGGGCCACCAGAGCGACCCATTATAAAAATAACGGAAAATTTAAAACTTTTTATCAGAACATGTAAACTCATAAAATCATTTATCAATATTTAGAAATAAAATAGATTTTCATACTCGTATTTAAAACAAAATACAATTATATGCCCCTAATCACATGTGCCATACTCTGCAACAACGCCGGAAGAACTCCTTTACTGAAGTCAATAGATGCACTGGTACAATTCTTTCAACCTGAAAAGGTGAGTAATAGAGTGAGCTTTGGAAAGCTCAGTAATACAGACCTACCAGATGATGCTGATGAACGTGCAGATACAGATAAATATATACTTCCTTATTGTTTCCGAACATTTATAGATTTTTATGCTGAGCAGAGATCCTTCTTATATTTCAGGTGGTAACGGATAATGAGCTTTCAGTTCAGAGAAATATTTTGGTTGACTCAGTTCAGGAGATCAGAATGGGTTATCTATTGTGTTCCCGTAAAACCAGTAAAAAGATACAGATCTTTTAAAACACACACACACACACACACACACACACACACACACACACATATATATATATATATATAATATATATATATATATACCCCCATCCCATCACATCATATTGTGTAGGTTCCCCAGAACCATACACCCAACCCAACACATCATATAAGGCCCTGAGCACAAAGCCGAGGAACCTTCGGAAATACTTCCTTCAACAATACCCCCCAATTAAAACATTTTTCCGTCATTAAACGGAGATATCAGAAATCAAAACCGAATTCAGAACATATATCAGAAAAGAATCCAGATCTGAAATCAAAACAGAATTCAGGTCATATATCAGAACAGAATTCAAGTCGGAAATCAGATAAAATATTTATATGATTAGGGAACACACCAGAGTTTACAGATATTATTCAGAGATATTGGATAATCTTATCGGGTAGAGAGACACAAATCTTCAGTTTACCGATAGAATGTCAGAAGTTAGAAAAACTATTTGAAAAAGTTCATTGACTGACAGAATCATCAGTTATTCAAGATATGATTTATCGGGATTATCTTATTCGAACACTTTTCTGAATCTCTACGAAATTTGAAGGTATTCAGAATCTTTACAATCTATGACGATTAATCCGATTATCGAACAACTCCAGATGAATAGCTCCCAGAACCAACACTTACTAACTTGTCAATTCATTAACCTTCCAGGGTATTTACTCTTTAATACCAAATATTCTTATCCAAAGATCATCTTTTGAGTCATCACTGAATAAATCTTAAGGAGACAAACAAATATTCTAATGGCCTTTATTTCATTTCCATGTTTCAATTATAACATGAAATGTTGACGTACTTGATTTGTGGTTCATAATCCACAGGGATGATACATCATATAAGTTCATCCGGGTTTCCAAACTTATTTCAATCTCTTACTTAATCCTCAGTCTTTGAGGTTAGTTAGTTCATTTAGCATTCAAGCCCATTTCAGATACTTCGGGGTTTTTTTAGGGTAATCCAGACGTTTCTGAAATTCGTATACATATTGTACTTCCGTTCAATTTAATTTGGTCTTCAAGGTTTATTTGTCTAATGAATATATATATTTCTTAGTACCGAAAGTGATATAGAGTTGGGCTGGGCTGAGTACTTCCAAAATTATCATCGAACCAAACTTGAGAAGGCGAACAAACATTCAAGTAGCATCTATGCCGTTTAGGTACTGACATATCATTAAGATTGATGAACTCACTTAAGCTCTGTTCCATAACTTCTAAAGGTAGTCCAACACCTATGCTTATTTGGATTCCTTAATTAATCCAAGATATTTACTTAATATAGGCTATAAGGATATTTTGGTCATTTTGATGCTCAGTTTTATTCTATTCATTTCAGAGCTCGAGGATATCCAATCATTCCTGAGCTTGGTGATATTCTTGGGTCATTTCCATGACAGGGGTATTTTGGTCATTTTACAGATTTACAGTATTTCAATCTTTTCCCTCCATCCGGTCTTATTATTTAATTCCAATTTATCATCTATTCCAGTCATTTCGAATAATTCTGATAAAAGAGCACCCTCCGATAAATTGTTCTTTAGGTATTTACTCATAACTCGGATATCTTCTGGTCAAGTGCCTTCTCGGATTTTACAAATGAAAAATCTTGAATTTTGCTTTACAAAGATAGGATCTTAATAATTAAATTCGTACTTAATCGAGTTAAGTACAAATCCTCAAAGTACTTTCTCTTTCAGGGTCAACTCTGACTATTTTACCTCTCAAGGTCATTTTCATAATTTCTTAACTAGATAATTTCGATATTAGCTCTTAACGAAAATAATATAATATAGAGATCCTATGATTAATTATTTCCTCGAACATTCTTTGATCTTGAAATGATTCCTTAAAAGACTTTCTAGTATCTAGCATAAACTTTCTTGGGGTTAAAAACTGGTTATCCATAATTTCCAAGTAAAACTAACATTTCTTATGCACATCAATAGTTTTAGCAGATCAGTAATTCTTTTATCAAAACTAACATTTCCAATATAAGGGTAATTTCGTAATTTTACCTAATCAAAATATTCTCATAATTTATCATCTAAGTACCTTTAATGAGATAAATTATAATCTACATATCTATGGCCGATTCTTTTATCACTTAATTCCAGAACTTGTAATTTAATTCCAACTGTCCTTCAATTTCTTATAATAGTCATCTGAGCCATATTCAGTTACCTACTTTCTACCGTATTCGTATCTAGTGTAGATCTTCATTAATTACACATATTAGACCAAACATTTCCATTCATGCATTTACCAATACCAACATGTTCTATAAAGCATAAAGAGGTAGTAAAGTATTACCTCGATTTCCGTACAATACTGATCGACCAATAAATTCCATTTGAACCCCCTTGATCTTGAATTCAACTTCCAATAATTCCTCAGGTACATATCAACATAAATTATATAAAAAAGCGGAGCTTAATTACGATAAACGGATCGAATCGGGTGATAAATCAGTGAAAAACAGTTTACCGGTTTCGAATTTGGCGAAACGGACTTCGGATTCGGATTCAGGACATCGAAAGCATAAAATATGACTTTTCAGAAATTTGGAATTTTTGGTCAAAATCAAAGTCAACGGATTTGACTACCAATATTGAGGGCTTCGGATCCAAATTTCGAAAAACAAACTGCGGAATCTAATTTGGAACGTCGAAAAATGTCAGGATATGTATACTCGGTCAAAGTCAAAGGTTGTTTAATGCCCGGTCAAAGCCTGTCAAAGTTTTGGTCATTAGTGGTCAACGGGTCAGGTCAACGAGTCGGATCAACGGGTCGGGTCGGGTTTTGACCAGTCAAACCGGTCAAAACAGTTCCAAAACCGATCACTTTTTCCTTCCCCACGCGTAGTGGGGGCGCGTGAACAGTGCTAAATTCCCGAAAAAATTCCTAAAAATTATTTTGAGAAATTTTGAGATACTTACAAAGCTCGGTTCACAATTTTGAACGGCAGAGAGATCGATTTCAACAAATCGAAAACTTTGACCGCTTCACCTCTTCACACGTCACCGTCGACGGAGACCAAGGATGACACCGGCAAACTCAGAACGATGCAAGGAATACGATGGTGCGGGAGGTGTCGTAAACGGATGCTCAGATAGTCGTGAATTGACGAAAAACCAATTGAAATTGAGTTATTACCGACAATACTTTCGACTGAAATTAACGACGAACGGCGACGATTCACGACAAAAGCTTTGAGGGGTTTTGTTCCTCGCTCGACAACGAACACGATGGTGGTTTCGACTCATCGATCGGAGGTCGGACGGTTAGTATATCGGAGTTGAAAGAGGGGTTGATGGGAGAGGGAAAACTAGAAAAATTTCCAGAAACATACGGGAAATTGGGGGTTTATATAATCTCATAATTAAAAATGGTTAAACCAAGAGTTTAGCCACTGAACTTCCTGCACTTCATAAAACAGTCTGCCAACTTTAAAATTTTGCAATTTAACTCACTGTTTCTTTCAAAATACCAAATTAAATCCACCACTTTATAATTTCTTAATTTTAGCCCCTAAATTGGGGTGTTACAGTTAGTATTATTTTCTAGTGGCTTGATTGGATACAATTAAAAGTGGTCTGATTGGTAAAATTGAAAGATCGGTGGTAAAATTAAAATGGTTGAATAGTTAAGTGATCAATGATATAGTTTATATATAAAATAAAGGCTTAATTAGAAAATAATTGCCTAAACTATGTCATTTTTCCCAAATAGGTGCCTAAACTTTTTTCCGATTTATTCAGGTGCCTAACATCACAAACATTAACACTCTAGATGCCCTAACCATAGCGTTCATTAAAAACGTTAAGTGACCCATGTCATATTCTGGTAATTTGAGAATTTTATTTTAAAAAATAAATATTATTGTATTTAAAAAATAACCCAAAATTCTCATAGATAACAAAAAAGCCAAAGTCCCTAAAAATCCTAAGTTCACACGTCACCGTCGACGGAGACAAGGATGACACCGGCAAACTCAGACGATGCAAGGAATCGATGGGCGGGAGGTGTCAAGATGCTCAGATAGTCGTGAATTGACGAAAAAACCAATTGAAATGAGTTATTACCGACAATACTTCGATGAAATAACGACGAACGGCGACGATTCACGACAAAAGCTTTGAGGGGTTTTTTCCTCGCTCGACAACGAACACGATGGTGGTTTCGACTCATCGATCGGAGGTCGGACGGTGAGTATATCGGAGTTGAAAGAGGGGTTGACGGGAGAGGGAAAACTAGAAAAATTTCCAGAAACATACGGGAAATTGGGGGTTTATAATCTCATAATTAAAAATGGTTAAACCAAGAGTTTAGCCACTGAACTTCCTGCACTTCATAAAACAGTCTGCCAACTTTAAAATTTTGCAATTTAACTCACTGTTTCTTTCAAAATACCAAATTAAATCCACCACTTTATAATTTCTTAATTTTAGCCCCTAAATTGGGGTGTTACAGTTAGTATTATTTTCTAGTGGCTTGATTGGATACAATTAAAAGTGGTCTGATTGGTAAAATTGAAAGATCGGTGGTAAAATTAAAATGGTTGAATAGTTAAGTGATCAATGATATAGTTATATATAAAAAAAGGCTTAATTAGAAAATAATTGCCTAAACTATGTCATTTTTCCCAAATAGGTGCCTAAACTTTTTTCCGATTTATTCAGGTGCCTAACATCACAAACATTAACACTCTAGATGCCCTAACCATAGCGTTCATTAAAAACGTTAAGTGACCCATGTCATATTCTGGTAATTTGAGAATTTTATTTTAAAAAATAAATATTATTGTATTTAAAAAATAACCCAAAATTCTCATAGATAACAAAAAAGCCAAAGTCCCTAAAAATCCTAAGTCCCTATAATCCATTGACGTCGGCTTACCGGCCATGGACATCACTGTCGACGTTATCCTTGTCATTTTCCTAGTTAAATGTTGCCATCTTTGTCGCTGATTGACCGTCGGGATTGCGAAGGGTCATGATTTGTAGCGTCAGAGTTTGTTAGGGTACACACGTCGATTATCCGTCGATTAACTCCTGTTCTGGTGGCTTTTCATGGGGTTATTAGTCATCAAGTGGAGGTTCATCGACATTAAAAAGGTGATGGTCAGCTTGAGTTTAAGGGTTGAAATTAAAAAATTTCTAAACTTTTGGTCTTTTTAAAATATAATAATATTTTTAATTTTTAAATTAGATAAAAAAATTAAAATCACTATAATGTGACACATGTCCCTTAATGGTAAAATTTAACAGCCGTTAAAATCACTATAATGTGACACATTAGATACCTAGATGAATAAAAAATGTTTGGGTACCTATTTAGAAAAAAATGTATAATTTGGACACTTATTTTCTAATTAAGCCTAAAATAAAACATACGGACCAAGTTTTGTATTTTATTTTGAAATGGTTTAATTATAATATCAATACTTCAAGAATGTGTGTTGTTAACTTTTTATCCTAATCTTTTTTTTCAACTTTCACCCCTAAAATTTTCATTGTTCTCACTTTCCTGTCAACTACTTATTTTGTATAAGGTGATGATGTAATTAGGATAATAATTTAGCTCGAAACGATATTTTAATTTGATTTGACTTAATAGGGTATGTTTTTTTATTAAAAAATTAAATTTAAGTATCAAATCATAACTTATAGAGCATGAGGCGGGGTCAGAACGAGATTGAACTAAAAAATGAAAAATCTCTTATCTAAATTAACGATATAGTTTTATTTTATAAATTTAAAGATAATTATTATAATAGCCCTTTCTTTATAATTTTTTAATTAGATTAATATTTTATTGAATAAAAAGTAATTTATTTATATTTACATTGAATTAGATCATATAGGATATGATTTTTTATTCTAAAAGTTTATGTCAGATCAAATTTATATGGATGTAATATGTTCTTCATATCAAAACAAACTCGAATAAAGAAGCATAGCTTCTCGGATCAAATTAAATTGATTAAAATTTAAAATAAACCTAACACAAACCAAACAACCTCAATGATTAAATGGTTGTCCCTTTTTCCCATATATATGGGGTAAGGGGGATGTAAGATAGTAGGCTACCCCAAACACTAGGTTGAGAGCAGCTTCCGTACGAGACCTCCGAATTATGAAATGCCCTCCGTGGGACTCGATCCCACGACCTCAAGTTTAAGAACCTTGTGCTCTACCAACTGAGCTGGATGGTCATTTCGTATCCTCAATGATTAAATGATGATTATTATTTCTAGAGAATATGAGTTGGAGTACCAACGATTACCATGGTATTTAAACGTTCATTGTCAAATGATTGAAATTTTTTAAAACAAATACTATATAATAATCATTATTAAAAAAAATTCACCTACTTGATACATTTTGAAAATGTACATGAAAATATTGTTTCTTTCTTCTTTGGAGGTTGTCTCCCTGATTGACCCTTGGCTCTTGTTGGACGCGATGTGAAGCAACACCTAAAGTATCATGGAACTATACCTTAAAACTAGGTATGTCAACTCCTGTGAATTGTAGGCGTTTAGGGTTTATATATTGCAAGTATCATGACAAATAGAAGTTAGTAGGGTTTGGATTCTAATAGCCTGGGCCATGACACTTAGGTGGTGTTTGTTTTTACTATAACATCCCAAAATACGGGTTAGTGACTAAATTATAAAACTTCAGAATGTGTTGATTAAAGTAAGATATTTGAATAGTGTAATGATTTGTTCGGAAATATTTCCTGAAAATAATTATAATTATCAAAGGAATAAGGGGCAAATGGTCATTTAACATGAAGATATTTTGTTATCTCTTTATGAAGAGATAACGTTGGGGTAGAGTATTTAGAAAACCTTCTTCTTCTTCTTCTTCTTCTCCAACGTGCAGAGCATAAGGTGAGTTTTCTATTTGTTGGTATTTGTTAAATTGAAGATTGTTTTGATCATTAGATGATAACTAAGCTTATGGAAAGCTTAAGTTGTCTTATAATCAAAAGATGAATAAGTTATAAGAGATTTAAGAAAACGATTTTTTATATGAAATCATGGAATAGAGTTGATAAGTTGAATTTGACTTGTCATCTATGAGAATAAGAAGATAAAAGTGTTAGAATTGTATTTAGAACATATTGAAATTTGAGTATGATTCTTGAATTACATATGAAGGATAGGATTTTGAAGTTATAGATGATTTTCATGGATATAAGTTGGTTTAAGTAATGGTAGTTGAGTTTAATGACATGATAGGGGTTTAAAATAGAAGAATTAAGTGAAGAATTGATGATTTTCGGGGTTAAAATACAATTTCTGGGTAGAGGGAACTGATACCCTATGAAGGGAATCGATTCCCCCTCTTGGATGAAAATTCCAGTATGTGCAGGGGGAACAGATTCGCCCCTTGGGGGTATCGATTCCCCGGGAACAAATTCCCCCTGGAGGGGGGTATCGATTCCCCCCTAAATGAAAAAAATGGAATTTGATTCATTAAACCGGTTTAAGTTATTAACATCAAGTTTA